GAAACGTATTTTAGAGTTTTTGTTTTTTGCTCAAGTTATACAATAATTACACAATAAGCATATTTGGGCATGTAACTTAATATTGTAAGTCTTCTAGTTTTTAAAAATTTTAGAAAAACATTCGCCTAAAAATAAATTTTTTAAATTTTCCCAACTGTTTTCGTCAATTTAAACCTAATTTTAAGGTTTAAGCCGACGAGCATTTAAATTCTTCACGTAAAGGTTCTCTAAGTTTTATTGTAAAAAGTTTTTAAAAATCTAAATTACCACATATTATTTTACCAAATGTATTAAAACAAACCACGATCTTTTTTATTATACAAGGTGTTCCGATCACCATTTACAACATATATTTTTAAGAGTCTTGTAAAAAATGACGAAAAAAAAGTGTACACACTAAGTGTTGCAATTAATATTTGAGTGAGGAAAAAAAAATCAAAAATTATTGAAGTTAAACGAATTACTACTGGGGACGAAAGAACTAAAAATATCAAAACATGTTACTTGTATAACGCAAGTAAGAGGCAAGTAAGTAAAAACAACCTTTACATTAATACTCTGAAATCAAAATGGTTGTGTTTTTATAATTCTGTCTTCTTCACTATTAATTCGACATATTTCTATAGTTTTTTCATCGATTAATTCTTCACGTCCATTTTTGAAAAGGATTATAAAAATGTATATTAAAAGCAGTCATTACTTAAAATCCTGTATATTGTTCTGTAGAATTCCTCCCCTTTGCTAGAAATAGCCAGAAAACTGGGAAAATTTAATATTTCGAGCAAAAATATTATCATTAAAAATTTAATATTTCAATTGGTAGCTAAGTTCACCCTAAGTTTCCATATAATATATAAGATCACTTTATATACCATAAATGTTCAATTAGAAGTTTTTTATTACTAAGAAATAACAGTAAGAACTTTCCCGCAAAACTGATTGCGGGGAAATATCCGAATGCATTCCTCCCTTTCTTTCTTCACATTAAATAACTTCGTCAGAATATTTACCCAGCTGCACCGGCACGCTTAATATCTAGGCACATGGTAACTGCTTCGAATATTTTCGGAAGAAGTTATGTAATTCATAGAATTTGTGGTCGTATATTGTTATGATAATTTCATATTTATGCTTGTAATTCAAATAAATATCGATAAATTCAAGGCAAAAATTTGGAAAAGAGTTTTTTGTGTTTTTTATAAGAAATAAGTAATAATTAAATGAAAACTATACTCTGTATCAAAGTAGAATTTTTCTCGGCTATTTTTTAACACATAAAAGTTGTTTAAATATGTATGTATTTCTTTTTTAAATCCTTATGAAGTAAATGTTGTTAAGGAAGTAACTTCCGACTACAGTTATGAAGTTACTTGATGTCTTCAGCTAACATGATAAATAAAAAGTGTCATATATATGAAAAATATCGGGGTGCAACTTAGAGAAATTATTTTCTCTAAAAAACATTGGATAAGCTATTAAAGTTAAAAAATTTAACTTTAAAAGTTTAGCCAACGTTTCCTTTAAGAAGTTCACAAATCAAAGCAGAGTGTATAAAACCATTTTAAAGATTAAATAAAAAAAACATTGTCATAAAAATATACGTTTTGGGATTTCTGAAGTGTCCAATATAAAGCTAAATGTTCAGCCACACATCCTTCTATTCACTTTTTTACTTCACTGCTGTTTGAAAAAAAATACATATCGAATGCGAAGTTTAAGGCACACATTAAAAGATTGCTCTTCGTAGGAAATGTTTATGTCTTAAAAATGTGAGCTTCGCTGTGCTAATATTTTTAAATCGCTTATTAACTGTCATTTGTATAAAAATTATAACACGATTTCTCTTATATAATCCTACACTTGACTGCCATTTTTTAAAAAGAAGTTACAACTCCAGTATATGATCTATGGCACTATCACTCTTAAAAACAATTATGACAAAAAATATTAGGTTTCGTAATAAGTTTTGAAATTAATTTCTTTAGTATCCTTAAGTATACTTTAGAGTTTCTCTTGATTTGACTGCCTTTTTTTTAAGTTATGACGCTAATGCAAAACTTATAGCACCATATTAAAAATTGACTCTCGTTGAAGATATTTATCTCATAAAAATATAGGTTACGCATGGTGTCACAATTTATATTCAAGAGTAATTAACATACAAACGAGATATTTATCAACATACTAACAAATTAAAATTTAAAGTACAAATGAATAAAAAATGTTGAAGTTGTTTCTAATAATCGCTTTTCAACTTCTCACTGCTTCTTCCGGCAACAAAACAGGTTTTAGTACTTTTAATCTGCCTTTCAAGTTAATGTTTCGTAAACTTTTAACTAACGCTTTTCTTTTTTTAGCTTTCATATTAATTTACGACTCTCAATGATTCGTTCCAAAACAGCCTATCTCANCCGTCGCCAATAGCCCATTGTGTAGCTCTAGTGCGACGTAAATGAACAACAACAACAACAATCATTTCTGATACGAATTTCAAAATTGTTTTTTGAACACTTTGCCGGCTGAATAACTAGACCAGAGTATCAACAAGTCATTGCGCATTTTTTTAACGACTACAAACTATAGGTTTTAGTACTTTTAATCTGCCTTTCAAGTTAATGTTTCATAAACTTTTAATTAACGTTTTTCTTTTTTTAGCTTTCATATTAATTTACGACTCCCATTGTGTACAGTTTTCAGCTTCATTTCTGATACGAATTTCAAAATTGTTTATTTAACACTTTGCCGGCTGAATAACTAGACCTGAATATCAACAAGTCATTGCGCATTTTTTTAACGACTACAAACTATTGCCAAATGGGGAAATCTCAATTATCGGTCGGCAAAGTGTTAAGTGGGTGATTTCGGAGCTTTTTATGTATCGTGAAACTCCACTTTAGATTACAGATTTGTACTTTAAAAAAAAATCGGAACCTGAATTCTCTATTTTTTTTCTTTGATAATTCTAAAAACTTACAAAGCGAGGAAGACCTAGGTTATAACAAAACTTAATATTTTTATTTTTAACAAGTTATCTACTATTTCATTATAAATGCATTACAATAGAAACCATTAACTTATATACACATTCTTAGTATTACAAAGTGACTCAGTGTTGTTGTTGCTGTTGTCGTATGCCTGTTAAGGCAGAGGGGTGCGATGTTCTTGTTTTCCAGTGGCGCCATCTATGGGCAAGAATTTAACTTCTGCCACACCCATACGTCACGCCCGTTTATAGGGCAGACCCATTCATTCATCTACAAATCGTAATTTTGACCTGAATCAGAGAACGATCAATCTCCAATTCAGTCCCCCCAGAGGTATTGATTTGTTTATGGGAACATGGAGGACTTTGCGACTCGACAGATTTAACGTGCATCAGTCACCATTTTACAACACGAGGAGTCTTCGACCTCCGGGGTTCGAACCCACTAACTCTCGGACATGGACCCAGTTCCCTACCGACCAGGCTATCCCGGCTTAGTGGTTCGGTTCACGTTTATTTTTATTTAGCAACTGGGTTAGTTATTACTTGATTATAAACTTCATTCACTTCAAAAATATAGAAATTTAAAATAACGGTTGACATGTCTCAAGCGCTCAAAAATAGACGGCCCTTTTAAAGTTTCGTCAGACATGAATGAAAAGAAACAAAAGTGATTTGAAATATAAAACGTAAAGTTGCCAACGAAAAAGATGGTAGGTAGGTAGGTACTTAATTTACGTCGCTCTAGAGCTGCACATTGGGTTACTGGCGACGGTCTGGGAAATATTCCTGAGGAGAGGATGATCTGAAGACATGCTTTCGCAATTTTGATCCTCTAAAGAGGGGATGGCTCCTTTGCTTTAGTAGCCAGACGATCTGCAAGTGAAGTCAAGCACTTTCCGGTAGAACAGTTTAACAAGAATCAATAGCGCACTCTCGGTCCCTACGCAGGCTGATCAAAGTCGTCACCCACTTTGATCAGCTTGCTTACTGGCCGAAACCAGTAATACTTGACCTCGGTGTTCTAGTGAGAACCGTGTCATTACGATCAGTCCATCTCGGCACCGAAAAGGATGGAAAAATAAAGAAGAGAAACAAAACTAGAAAAGCCACAGTGGCTGAGAGGGACGTGCAAAATGCAATTCTACTCGTCTTGGAGGGGAAATAGGGAATTACTGGGTAGCACTTGAAACATGTCCAATCCAATTTGTATAGTTTCTGATCAAGTAATATTTTACCACTTCAGTTTATAGGGATTGTTGCATTTATAGTGTTTAAAAATTTTTTGCAAACATACATTTGAATTTGTCACGCGTAAGATATTCAATGTTTAGCAAAATTTAGATCTTGTCTACTTTATTTTGCTTAATTTTTATAGATTTACTTTCAATACGATTACTCTTGTGGCGTAACTACCACTACGAAAATTAAACATCAATTCACTGGTATATTAGACATGCTAAATTAATTCAATCAAGAGGTACCTTTTGATAGATGACGGTTGGCATGGTCGATAACTCCGCCCCCACATTGGGGACCCGGACGTAATTTGTACACACAGTAACGCCCACTTCGCCAAATAACTTGATGCTAACGCCTACTTCGATGGATAGTCCGCATTGTACAGTTGACTTGCTACTTGTGACTGCAAAATACAACACAGAAGCAACAACGAACGCTACGACGTGATGTTAATACACCTCTCACATTCAGCACTAAACAAAGCTCTCTCGGTCTTTCACAAGTACAGCAACTAGTGAGATTCGTTCATCGAATTCTATCCCTGATAAAATTCTGGTGGGGAGTATTGTAGCGTAACTACCACTACGAAAATTAATCATCAATTCACTAGTATATAAGACATGCTAACTTGATTCAATCAAGAGGTACATTTTGATAGATGACGGTTGGCATGGTCGATAACTCCGCCCCCACACTCTCTAAGAATTCACATTATATATAAAATCTTGTGAACACTTATTTTTCTTGTAATATTTTTCTTTTCAATCAATTTTAGGCTAATCTTGAACCTGGGCAAAATAAAGACAGAAAATCTAAAGGAAGAACAGGATGGCCACAACATGTATGGGCCCTAGAACTCAAGAGTGATTGATGGAGGACACGCAATTTCATAAACATGTTTGAAGGTTTGAACTGTGCAACCTTAAAAACTTTACAAAATAATATTGTCGTAATTATTGGTATTACGACATTGCTAGAAAAAGGAACAGTTGTCTTCGTCAATTTCTTAAAAATGAGAAAGAAATAAAAAGTACATGGATATGTCATGCAAGGATGATAAAATAATTTTTATTTATTAATTAATTATTTATTGAAAAGTGTTGCTGAATGTTTGTTTTGTAGATCGTTTGCTACCAATTATTTACCTTCATGTGATTTAATATAAATATTATTTGTGATAAGATTGTGTGGAATTATTTATTGAAGTATTTACTGTTATGAGTTTTAAAGATTTTTTATGCAAAAAGAAATTACATTCACTAAAGACCAATGATAATTCCCTAAAACACAATGATGACCCTGATCGGCCTGAAAATTATTTTCATTCGTTCTCCTCCATTCTTCAGCTATTTCATTACTGACAATCTAACTGAGGAACTCCCCTCCCAAGTTGTCTAGAACACTGTCAATAACTATGATTACAAGGTTAAACTACACTCTATAACAAAAAAATTGACGCACCAAAAAGCAATCATCCAATTGCTCTGAAGTTTCGTATGCATGAATGTTTTGAACAGATCTGGCTGGAATGATGCCGACTGGGGACGCATAGTCTTTAGCGACGAATCCTGCTTCCAACTGTGCACAGGGTAGAGGGGGGATCCTGCCCTCACTACTGCACGCCACACCGGCCCTCAACAAGGCATTATGGTCGGGGGTGCCATTTCCTTTGTCCTTTGACAGCCGGACCCCTTTGGTCGTCATTGGAGGTACACTTACTGCACAGCGATACGTCGACGACATCCCAAGACCTGTTTTGCTACCGTTTCTTTTGCAGCGCCCTGAGCTGGTTTTTCAGCAGGACAATGCCAGACCACATACGGCACGTGTTGCTATAAACTGTCTGCAAGCTTGTCAAACTCTTCCTTGGCCTGCCAGATCACCAGATCTCTCTCCCATCGAGCATGTCTGGGATATGATGGGAAGGCGATTGCATCTGGCACGGAATGTTGATGACCTCGTTCGACAATTGGATCGAATTTGGCAGGAAATAC